ACAGATGAATATAGTTTATAGTGTTTTGCTGAGCGTTAAAATTTACTAACAAACTGAAAAAAAAAATCTCAATAGAGTTAATTTTAAGTGAAGTGCTTTGATTGTATAACTTTATCTGTCAGCATCTCAAAATTATAAGTATGCATTGTTTCCTTCGCTAAATAATATTAAGAAAGTTTAAAATTAAACATATTATGTATTAAACTAGCGTTAATAATTTAATAATTAAGATTACTGTACTTCGCTTGCTTATGAAGTCATTTATGTCATTATATGCTAAAAAAATGATTAATATTTTTTCCATTTAAAAGCATTAGTTTTATTAATTTACGAAATATTAACAATTAGCTTAGAAGTCCTTTCTTGTAGAAATTTTTTTCAAACTAACTAAAATTAAGCTGTATTTTTAAACTTAAAAATATTAATCGACGAATTATTCAATAATGAAATCAATAATTTACGAAATAAAAAAAAAATTGCCATTTGGTTTGTAAAATGTTAATAATTAGATAGTTGCTTTATGAGGTAGTAAAGTAATCATAATTAAAAAATATAAACTAAAATAAAATTTAGCTTTCATAGCCCATCGATTTTTGATCTAAACATTAAGGTGTTCCTTATCCTAAATTCTTAATTTTGAATAAAAAACATTGCATAATAATTAAAATTACTCTATTTCTTACGAATAATCTGATATAACAAATAAATACTTTAAAATGGCATGATTTGAATTTACAGAAAAGTTCTTGATAAATATCATTACGTTTTGCATGTTAATTGCTATAGCTAGCTTGTTAAGTACCAATATGATCTCTCTGCTAAGTTGAAGGGGCTATTAAGATTTTTAAAATAAAGTAAACGTAAAGGCAAAAGATAATGAAAGAATAATTTCAATTTTCCAATTTATCATCTCCCAAATTATGCACTATCATTGTTATGCATTTATTATGCTAATTATGCATTTTATAGTGCATAACTAGAGAACTGTTATACATTCCTGTGAATGACTTATATATTGTTTGAAACAAAATATAGTAAAGTCATCTATGAGATACAGAGAAAATCACAAATCTAATTCGTGCAATATTTTACTACTTAGTATGTATTTTACTACTTACTATGTGTCTCTCCTTTTTAAATAACGCAAATAATAGTATAAGTAATTAGCTATTCAGTTTTTATGTATAATTGAAAATGAAGGACGTTACGATTATTATTGTTTTCTAAGATACACTTCAATTTTAGTACATACTTAACTCAACTAAAAAGTTGAAAAGTTGAGAGTAACCACACCGTGATAAATTCCTGAAATTTGGGTTCATCATTCGTAAAATGCATTTAAATGCAATGCAATAATATTTACTCAATTAAAGTGATTCACTGATTATACCGAAGACTCCCCGAGTAGTAAATGGTGATTGATGCACGTTATATCTGTCGGGTCACAAAGTCCCGCATGTTCCCGTAACCTCTGGGAATACTGAATTGGATATTAATCGTTCTTTGGTTCAGGTCAAAATTACGATTTGTGGACAAATGAATGGATGTATGAACGGGTCCACCCTATAAACGGATTTGACGTATGGATGTGAAGGAAGCCGAATTCTTGGCCGTAAATAGCGCCACTGGAAAACAAGAACAATCGCCCCCCCCTCTTCCTTATTGGCCAATAACAACATAAGGAAAGAAATCAAAATATGATTTGTTTCAACAAATTACTTTATTGATCACAACATTATTATACATAATCTTGATTTTTAATAATATTTCATAGAATTTTCCTCTGTCTAGAAATGTACATAACTAATAATAAAACCACATTTGAACAAACACATGTATGTACAATTATCATTCATGTAATTCAAATTCTATTTTCTATTCATAGAATAACTATTACATAACACTGAGCAATTTCTAAAGTGAGCATTTCTTGTTATTAGGTCGTATAATTTAATTCATTCATTCAATGAAATATTTACAATATTTATTTTTTAAACACTCACTTATGAAGGATAGAATGATTATAAATTTAAAGTTGGGCTTGGTGGTGAATGTTTATTCAAACAAAACATGATAAATTTGTTTTACACGTTAACCTGTATTCAAACAAAACATGAACAATTTGACAGTCACATTATTCAAGTATATTGTTATTTTTGTTATCTAAATTTACATATTTTTATTTTTTACATAAGATGCATATGGTATCTTTGTCTTTTTCGGAAATTTGGGAAATTTTTCAAAAATCGAAAGCATAACATTTTAATATTAGTAGATTTTAAAAACACATCAAGATTCATGATTTGACGTCTATGTAAAAATATAATATCATAAATCACTTAAAGATTATAAATCATAAGCCACATAAATATTTATGAGTGATAAATGATGTTGTTTAAAATTGGCCTGCACTGCATATTTTTTTAAAATTCCATTGTTGCATAGTTATATTTTAACGTAACTGATGCACTTTGATTTTAAATTGCGTGTAACAAATGTGATATATTTCTGCTTTTCCATGTTTTAGAATTTTCTGGAATACAGAAATTTTTATACATTTTCCTCCTGTTTGATTTTAGAAACTTATTAACATTTCTTTCTTGTTGTTTGCGTAAAAACAACATAAAGCGATGAAAAATCATTCAACCTATAAAGATTTGTAACTCATAGTTATACTTATTCAAACAAAAGAATGATTTGTAAGATACGTTTACCTACAATGCACTTTATTATTCTGTTGTTTAATAAATTTTGATTTATAATTATTTTCTTCTTCATTTTGATTAGTTCTTAAGCCAAATAAATGTAACGCATATGCTACTTTCCTGGTTATATATCCTTTTATTAAGAGATTTTTTTTCCTTTAGAATTTAGAAGCGTATTATGATTTATTCTTAGAAGTTTGTTTAAAAATCTAATCTTAGCAATAAAATTTATAATATCTCAAAAGATTAGTTGGTTTTGTTGAAGGTTTTAAATTTTAGAACTTCTAATTTTCAGCTCTTCTGAACGTCAGTGTAAAATAACCCAACAAAACTAAAACGACCAAAGGTGAATCATTAAAAATCTTAATTTTGAGAAACAATTGACTATTATTTGCAAAGTTTTACAGATTATTCTTTTTCTCATCGGTCATACATATAATTTCCGTTCTTTGTGAATAATAAGTGATATTTTTAATCAATAAAAATGATTAAAAGGGATATGTTAGGGATATGTTGGCTTTCAAATTAACAGCTATAGTATGCAATGAATTGAATTTAGTAAAACTTAAATATTTCAAAACTCAACAATTTCAAATTCTGATTTAAGTACGCTGTAAATAATTCGGAATAAAGTTACGGTAAACATGACTGGTTCTGTGAGTGCAACATTCGTAAAATCCATTCTACCGTAAAATTTCATACCATAATTTTTAATGCAATATTTATTTAATTACATTTATTCTGTAATTTTGCAGTAAATATTCTGATATTTACGCTATGTAAAATTTTTTCAGTGAAGTTTTATGGTGAAAATGCATTTTACGTAAAAAAGTTCTGTCAAACTGAGTGAAATAATTAAATTAAAAAGTATGCATTAGCAGACAATTGATAACTTGCTAATTAAGCGGTTGGCATATAAATAATAACCAAGTTCTTAGATTTATTATTAGTTTAATTGATTAAAATAGAGCAAAATAAATCATAGCTTTTTTAACACAGTCAATTCGCAACATCTCGAATCTAATCTCTAATCTTCAACAAATCGGTTTGACTTACTGTCCAATTTTGAAATGATAACAGTTATCTTTTAGACAATATAATTATGTATTACTATTACGTAAGAATACTTTTTATTTCTGTAATATTGTCGAAAGAGTTTTATGGACGTTTCACTACTTAATTACCATAAGTTATTCACTACTGAAGTTATACATTTTTTCGATACGGTCGAATTTCTATCTACGTCATTCACGTGTTGAGCTCCAGGAAAAAGTATTTTCATGTTCTGCTCTGCTACGACATATTGTAGGAAAAACTGGTTTTTAAATGCACGGGTGCCTGAAGTTTTAAATTTTGGAAAAAAAATTTACTAACCCTCAGTGGGTTAAGAAATAATTTTATCTAAGTTAAGACTGGCAACACACAGGGTCCTCGCTAACACTGGTAGAAAGTAAATAGCAAACTCACGCAGTGCATGGAGGATTGGAAATGCAATTGAATCGATAAAATTGAATGTTTAGATCAGTGATTCTCAACCTACTTTTTTGTTGCTGCACACTTTTAAGGATTTCGAAATTTGACGGCACACAATGAAAAACATTAGATTAAAAGTAGTTTAATTACCTATTTTATATTGTGATAAATAGTTTGTGATAATAATTTTGAGTGTGAAATAAAATAATATGTAGTACTACAAAAGCACATTTATTAAGGGATTAATTATTTCGTTCGACCAGTTTTTTATCAGTTAGTAACAGTAATTTATATTTTGCTAGTTATTATATGTTAGCTTGTTTTCTTCAATTAACTGTTAGTTTTTTTGCTTCATATTAACTGTTATTTTTTGTGATCTCTTGAGTTTTTTTGCTAATTATTAATTGTTAGATTAATTTTTGTTAGTTATCCTTTGTTTCTTTGTTAATTAATTGCATAGCTTACTTTAATGATTAGCTCTTACTACATTTTTTAAAATTGGGTGTCATATACAATTTAAGCACTTCCATCTTATTTTAAGATTGTCAGAGATAATGCAATCGCCGACAAAGATGTTCACGCGTTTAAAGCGTAGAAAAATTATAAAAAGTATATATATACTTTTTATGAACATTTCAAGCACATTTTAAGAATTTGGCAGCACAAAAAAGTGCCACGGCACTGCGGTTGAGAATCACTGGCTTAGAGAATCGACACACGGATTAAAAAAGGGCATGCTGCATTAGACACTGTTTTGTAAAACTGTCAATATTCAAGCGGCAATGCTGTATATTTGANTTTAGCTTTACTCATAATAAAAAAAGCATTATAACTTTTATTGTGTCATTTCTAATATTTGGTGGTACATTTTAAAAGTTTGGCGGCACACAAAAGGGCCACGGCACAGTGGTTGAGAATCACTGGTTCAGATCTATATTGAATAGTTCTATTTCAAAATTCCTAAATGAAGCAGTGTTATAATTATACTAACAATACAGATAGCATAGACCTACGGAAGTTTAAGTTATTTCTCGCAGATGATATCTGATCATCTCACTCTGTCTCACTTGCTTTCCTTACTTGGGACGATTTCTAGAATTTGCTCAATAGACTAAAGTATGTTCGCCAACTCCGCTAGTAGATTTTTTAATGAATTAATTAGGCGTTAAAACTGAGTTATCGTTAAGAAAATGAGGTTAAACTGCGAAACTGCTTGCAGAGATGTTATCCAACCTTCTCACACTAAGCCAACTTGTTTTGACTACTTGCGTAGATTGAGCACAGATTTCATTAGTAGTGGCAAAAAAAGTTGGTTGCAGTTATTTTCTGTTTTTTTTTCCACCTATAACGGAGAGATCCATCTTTCGTTTTCAATTATTTCAGCTTTAAACAAGGGATTCATCTTTGAAATAATGAATTGAAGAGAATACAAAACTGCAAGCGAAGAGGAATCCATTCTTTTTACGCTAACTCAGCATGTTTTAACAACTTGCGTAGATTTCACTAGTAGGGGTAAAATAAGTTGGTTGCAGTTTTTTTAGTTTATCTCATTTAGCTATTGAAAAGGAGAATAGTTTTTAAAAAAATCAATTAAAGATAAAAAATCAAATTATTCAAGAACTTTGAGCATGAAATTAAAGATAAAAGGGTAAAAAAATTGTCAAAAAATGGAGCTATCGTAATTTCACTTCGAGATGAAGCGAATTGACTGTATACAAACCAGAATATAGTCAATACTGATAATAGACAGTTCGTAAATTATACAATTGAAAACGATGAATTAAAGTGTAACCATTCAGTATATCATTTCAGTTCAAAAATTCAAATGGGTATTCAATTTTATTCCTCCAGAGTTTCTTGTTGAGACTTCAAATGGAGTCCCATAATGGCAAATGCTTAGTTTGTATCATGGAATGACCATAAAGTCGTTGAAAAATATCCCTGCTTACGCAACTATCGTAATAATATTAAATTTATAAAAATCCAACTACATGCCAAAATGGACAAACTGGTCATAGTAGTACTGGTAGCTCCTGAAATAAAAAAAAGTAATAATTTCAGAAAACATGAAATATTTGTGTAAAATGAAAATAAATAGGAAAAAAAATTAATTTTAAGTAAAATACAGGGAATACTTTCAAATCAATCAGTTATTCTTACTTTTAGATTCTTTATTTCAAAAATAATGCAAAAAAACTATGTTTATTTGAAATTGCAAGTAATATTTAAGTAAATCTAAACAAAACGTCATCAAATAAAATAAGTTAATGCTTCTTATCTAAAGAATAGACAAAACCCGTTTATTGCTGGATGAAACACAGAGGATTTTGACAGCAATTATTAGGAACTAGGAGGCTCCGCCCCCTGCTCACTAACGCTCGCCAACCACCGAGAATTGCTACGCAATCCTATGTGGTTCACGCCGTGAACCATGGCTCGCTGCGCTCGCTCGCCAATGAACACAATGTTCTAGCACAAAGACATAATATATTATCATCAAAGACATAGTATTTTATCATCAAAGACATAGTATTGTACTTATGTCGAAGAATTCTATCAATGTTCTTATTGGCTTTTAAAAAAGTATATTAGCTATTTAGATTGCACATGGTGAAAAAATCAAAACGTTACCTAAATGAGAAGCATATTAGCAAAATAAATTATCAAATATTGCAGTTACTCACCTAAATTCAACTAAATGTGTATAATAAATTAGTTAATGCTAGAAATTCTGAAAGTTTTAGAAAAAAAATTATTGTTTAAAAATATAAACTTTAAACCCCAACTTTTCCTTGTGAGATAATAACCCTCAAAAAGTCTTTCATTTTCAGGAACACAAAAATTTGTTTTATCACCAAATGAAATATTTTTTGGTGATCAGTATTATTGATTTGTCAGAAGAATTTCTTTCTTTGGCCCAGAAGTAAGCATTACAATAACTACATTGTTCCGTCATTGAGCTAATATTATACTCTTCGACATCTACTGTTACATCTTGAACAGTTATTATTGCACTAGATCTCTGCAATCTACGTTTTCCATAACATTTCTCAACACTTTCTTGGGCTCTTCGAACACGTTTTCTCGCATTACGTTTAAAAGCCCTAGCAGCTTCACTAATATTCTGCATTTTAAAGCGTGAAAATTCAATACATAAATAAACGCGAAATATAAAAAAATTCAATGCATTCAATACAAACACGTTTTTTCGATATTTAGGTAGCTCCCAGTAGAAAAATATCGATTCAACAGCGGCCTTTTAAAGCATTCTCACTTTAATTAATTAATTAATTCCTAATTGAGTTAAAATTAAATATTATCATGTGTTTAGGGAATGAATCTGAATTGAACAACCTGATAATGCTGACTCTGGTTATTGTTTCCGTTTTTTAAAGTGCTACATGTTGAGCGACCTCATCCAGATTTGCCATGTGACATTTTTAGCAGCAATCATTGGTTGATTTTCTAGCGTTGCCATTCGGGGAGTTGTTATGAGGCTTTTTTTTGGTGCCGTGTAAGAGAAATATATGTATAGATACCTTATTCAGTTTCATATAGCAATCAAACAATATTTGATGCTCGAGTTAAATTGTAAAAACTGTGACGACTTATACGAATTTTTTGTTGAAAAATTATGTGCTATTTCTAGTTAATATTGAATCTCATGTTTCTTTACATTTTATCGAGCTTAATTAAAACATAAACCCCAATAAATGAAGCTTATGCACCTAACTCACTTTATCCATGAATTTTTTCGCCCGTCTTGGCGCCAAATTGTTCAATTGTCAGACGATCGATCTTTTTTGATTAGAAGAAGATGAAAGTTTGATTTTACCTCGCACGATGATGAACATTTCAAAGAGTCAGAGAGAGAGAGAGACAGTAAGTAGTTATAAAATGGTATTTATCGTCAGGTGTGTGTCTGTCAACTGTATTATACAATTTTAAAATATCTTTTTTTTTATCCACTTCGGTTTTGTTTAGCCTTGTTTGAATTTATATTTATATAGATTATTTTAAGAAACAAATTTTTTTTAAGAAATAATTTTATTTTAAGAAATAATTTTGTTTTAAGAAATATTATGTATATTCATCCAATTTTTTTTACGATTCTTGTTTTATAACGCATCGCATCTCGAAAATAACTTTACTGACAGATGTGTATCAAATCTTACAGTAATTATAAATTTTAGTGTTGCGAAATAACAAAAAGGTGCCGTTTACTTTAAGCCAAGTAGTATAAAAAAACATTCTTGATGGAGTGAAACACTTAGATCTATAAAAATTATGCATTTTTTCCCTAAACCACTTTGATGTAAAGTATTTGCCACCATTTATAGTATTTAGATTCATTGAAATTTCTTTACAGTGTAGTGATTCGACTAATTTTGTTAGCCTTTGTTTTTTTCCTCTCCTATATATTATTTTTCGATCCCAATATGCGCATTACTTTTTGACTTTATGTTTTACCAGATTTTAATTTATATTATAGGTGGTGATTATATTACGTAGTGAGCTGGGATAGATTGGTTGTCTGGGTGCTGGACTCACGTTCGTAAGAACTGGAGTTTAAATCCAGTCGGCCGAAGTGTAGTAAATAGTGACTAGTGCACGTTAAATCTGTCGGGTCTCAAAGTCATCCACGTTCCCATAACAAATTATACCTCTCGGGTGACTGAATTGGATCTGTGGAGGAATTAATGGATGTATGAATGAGTCCTCCCTATGAACAGGTGTGGTATATCATATACATGGTATATCATATACATGGTATATCATATATCATATAATCCTGACCATCTCTGACTAAGTCGAATTCCTAGTCAGAGATGGCGCCACTGGAAAATAAAAGCAATCGCACACCTATTACCTTAATGGTCTACGACAACAACATTATAAATGGTGATTATATGATAGGTTACTTAAATTTTTTTAAGATAAAATGCACTTTACACTTTATTACTTGGTAATACAAATGAATGGCTCCTTTTCCTGAATCAAAATATGGGGAATGATTTAAAGAGAAACATCTCTGCCCTATTTATAAGAATAAATACGATATCTTTCTTGTTTTGTCTTTGTTTTCATTTTATGCAAACTCACTAATAGTGTGACTTTCAGATTTTATTAAGAGATGAAACCTAACTAATCAAACAAATAGCAGTGAAAAAATATAATAATCTTAATGTCTGAAATATGCTTTTTAAATTGTGATTAAAAATTAAACATTATTTAAAATGTGTAAGATGCAAAGCTAAACTCTCTTTGTATCACCAGAAACATTATATGACGTACTAAGCATGAGAGTTAGAATAAATATTTATTACTCGTTCGTAAGTTTTTCTTAACAAAGGATATATTGATAAATTCATCTTATATGCAAGGAAACGATGCGAGTTTTTTAGAATTATAATTACAAAAAGTCCATTTTTATAGAGAATTTTATATATTTTCTGTAAACTTCACAATAAATAGCTTGTGAAATTGCCATTGCAACTAATCAGCTTCTGCACTGCTAAAATATAAGATATATAAGAAATTTAAATATATAAAAATTCTTATATATAAAATATATAAAAAAAATTCAAAAACGATTCCACAAATGAAGAACATTTTCAAAATGATTAGTACTGTATAATAATATAAATTTAGCCTGCTTTGATTTTATTGCTTTTCATTAAATAAGTTATTTTTTTAATCCACTGAAGTTATTCCGGATTTTATTTTTGTCATTTAATTTTATTACAAATTTAAAAACAGAACCACCTCTAATGCCTTGCTATGGATTTCAAATGAGAAAAGCTACAGTCATTTACCATAATTTATTTTTCAGTTTTCAAGATGAATGGCTTACCCTGCCGTAAGCCATGATGCAATTTTTAATAAACAAACTGCATAAAGTATAAGTAGCATTTATACAACACATGAATGGAAACATATCAAAACATTAAAATTATTAAATAATTTAGTCAAAAAATATAATTTTAAATCTTAGTTTAAAAGCATTTAAAGAAATTATAATATATGTTTTATAATTATATATATGTTTATTTTAAAGAAATTATATATTATTTTTAAATAAATATTTTAAAAATTTTAAATTTTTTCAATCCAGTTCTTACTTTTAAATGGAAAATCATCATGGTGGATGTTAAATTTAGAGAAATTTAATTTAATTTTAATTATTAAACTAACATTTTAAACAATGCTTTATTTAAAGCAGCTCACCATTTTCTGGAGGTCTGTGTAATGGCTTACTTGGTATAGAATCTTCTGAAGCACCTGTTTCCGAGACTGATGATCGCAAATTTTTGTCTGTAAAGTAAAAATTTTAGAAAAATTAGTACTGATTACAATTCTATTAGTTATGTAAAAGATACGTATTAAATAATGCTCCTGTTTTCGAGACTGATTATCATAAATTTTTGTCTGTAAAGTTAACATCACAGAAAATTTAGTATTGATTAGAAATCTATTTGTTGTATAGAAGATAAGTATGAAATAAGACACTTGTTTCCGAGACTGATGATCGTAGTTTTTTGTCTCTGTAAAATATATAACAAGAAATTTAGAAGTGATTATAATTATATCAGTTACGTAAAAAATACGTATAAAATAAAGAATTTCTGAAATAACCCGATGCAGATATGGGGAACATAGTGTTTAAGACCTGATAATTGTATAATGGTTCGTATGATTGCACACTGTGATCAATATAACGCATCATTCATCTTTACTTTCAAAACTAATTGGTACCCTGCCATCTTTGAAGAGAAAAAAAAATTTTAAAATTATCTGTAAAATAATAACATTTCTGGTTAAGAGAAATAAAAAAATAATAAAAACACAATTCTGCTTAATAAGACCAAAATATAAGAGAATTTAACTACTCATTGGGAAAGTTTTCTGTTTATATTCAACCCTAATTGCGCATTGCTGGTTCATTCTTGTGCTTGCTGAAGACCTACGAATTAATGTTTTGCGCACCAGATCTCAGTCTACAAAATAAAGGAAATACGCCTTTTAACATCCGAAAGGGAAGAATAAAACTTCTGATAGGTATGAGAAAAACTAGCTACTAATTTGTCAATGTTTTGCTGCCGCTTTCGCTTCACGCGGATATGCTGCAATTCGCCAGCTTTAATGTCTAGGTAATGATGGAACTTCAACATACAAAATTGCTGCATACCAATACATATTGTTTATATTCGTATCGTTTGTTTAATTTCGTACGATTTGCGCCCCTGTGAAGGAATAATCTATAATACGACCTCACTTTCAAGCGTTATATTCTCATAATTTAATAACAAAATAAACTCTAAAAACCCTTGTGAATTGTATATTTAAAAATATTCACTTCAATAATATCATTTGACTTTCTATGACCTTCAGAATTTAAGTGTGTTTCTTACATGAATGCTTATTCTGCTTAAAATTGTCTTACTTATCCAGTGCTGAAGAAAAAAATTATATGTCTTGCGATTTTTCTTTCGTTTATTAGGGCTTGAATTGATATCAAAATTAACAAAAAATAAATACATAAATAAGAGGGAGATTAGGTGTAGCCAGATATAAATCGTAGTATTTATGTTGAAATACCTAATAATATTAAGGCTGAAGAGAGATAAAAACTGTTTCCAATGCAAGCTGTTATATGATGTAAGATTACAGGTTGATATAATACTTATTAGGACATAAGGTTGATTCATTGTAGAAAATTTTAGAAAAAATAATTTTGACTCAACAAAACTGTTTCTGAAAATCTCAAAGAACTTTATTTAATATTATGTTTCCTATCAATTGAGAAATACTTTTTATTTTTTATTTTCAAAAGTAAGAAACTGAATCGCAATGACACCGACTCAGTTTCAGAGTGTAGAGTAGCTACCACTACAGCTATTAAATTCCAATTCACTAGTACATTAGACAAGTCAACTCGATTCTATAAACTAAATAGGAACTGTTTTAAAAAAGCTTTAGATTGTAAAGCTGCAAGCTTTAACTCAATTTTCGAGTACGAAAACCTATTTGAAAATACCTCCCTGAGGCCAGTTGCACACTGTTTTACAAGTGATGCAACACTGAATAATAGTGAATTTTATATTATGGCAATATTTTCATATGGAACTTATTTATATATAAAATTATATTTAAAAATGGATAATATTCGTATAGAATAACACTGATGTAGATGTGTAATTGTATATAAAATGCGTTGACACAAATCAACTTGATTTGTATTGTACTAGATTTCATGAAAATTGACTATGCTTTATGATAAATGCGATTAGTGAAGAGTATGTTATTGCTTGGAATGTGATATGAGAAAGTGTATTGTACTTGAGAGATGTATAATGAGTTTGACAAACTTCTTACAGGAAGAATACTTTTATTATTCTTTTTCTCTATTATTCATTTGCATGTAACTATATGCAAAAAATCCATCATTATTTAATGATATACATCATTATTTATACTAGAGCAATGTGCTTATAATTATATGTCTACTTTTAGTTTCAAGTTACAAGGACCGTAAGGAACCACCACAACGATCCTTCAATTCATGGTGAAGGGATAAAGGGCCACTTCGGTCTCAGGCACCCCGACCAACCGACAGTTCTAGGACTTGATTCTATCGGGGTGGGGAAGTAATGTAGAGAAACACGTCTGAAACGCCCACTTGAATTGAATGCATCTGGTTCGATGAATGGCTCTCAGTGAACAGTTGACTTGCTATTTGTGACTGCAACATTGTCCTCCTTACGCTGTTGCTACTCAGTCTCGAGTACACAAAACAGGGGAAAGTACACACTCTACTGCTAATTGCATCATAGAAGCGATCACTCCCACAACAGCGATCTTAGTACAGCTCTCACGACCAGCAATCAAACCCCGGTGATCTTAATACAGCTCTCTCGGCGCTTGCAAAGCATCAATGAATCAACTAGTGGTATACATTCATCGAATTCTATTACAGATAAATTTCTGGTGGGGGAGTAATTTAAGATAGTAATGTATAAGAGTAATGTATGAAAATTCTGGAGCGTAGCTATCATTACAGCTATAAAATTCCAAATCACTATTATATAAAACATGTTATCTCGATTCTATCTTGAGGTACTTTGATAGATGATGGTTGACATTATTGGTAACCTAGTCCCACTAGAGGTTTCCGAAATATTAAGAAACGTTTTAGAAAACTATATACACTGTAGCTGTCCCATATATTCAGAATTGTTTTGGGATATTTTGCAGTGTAACAAGTAAATTTACTGCTCATATAATTGCATTTACTCGACCATCATTCTGTAGTACAGTAGTAAAGTGTAGTAAATTATTTTTGAAATCAAAGCATCCTTTCCTTTCTATATTTTAACAAATTGATAAAATGTGTTTTCATAGAATTATAATAATCACAAATTTTATTAACAAAATGATTTTTTATCGACTTTTTGGAATAACAGAACAAAACTAGATGAGAAGAAACATCGGGTGTTTGGGAGCCTCAGGGATATTAAAAAAATATATAAAAAATAATAAAAATCACTCAATCGGAAGTCATCTTTAAGAATTTTAAACTTCTTTACTAATTCTAGGGAAATAAGTTCTTACAGTAGAAAAAATTATTAAACATTGCCATATTTAGATATTTTTTTTATAAAAAAAATAGGCATAGCATAAATATTTAGAAAAATATTTTCTTCTTCGAATAAAAGTAGCATGTTTTAGTAGATCTCATAATTTTTTTGCAAATATTTAACACTTGAAAAAAAATTGTCAGCCTTTTTAATACTATCATATCATTGCAATGGAAATATGATTTATATTATTTTCATAGTGTTTGTAAAATTTATAATAAAACTCAATGGTGTTTTGTATAAACTAAATTTAAATTTATGAAATATTTGAAGCATAGATTGTGTTGTTTGCATGTTAAAGTTTATAATATCCATTTATTTTCTGAATAATTTTTATTTATATTGTAAGGTAATACAAAATAGCACAAATCAAATTCATTTTTTATGAACTATTTGCCTATATTTAAAGTTCATTTTTAAAGGTACCTAATAAATAGCAAATTTCTTATTTTGTAAGGAATCACTAATACTTTTTCTAGTTTGAAAGTTTTTTGTTATTGCCGTTTTTATAGAAATTAAGATTTCTTTGTTTATTACTAGAGTGATGACGGTTAGCAATAAGAAATTTTTTTTTATAAAAAAATCCAAAGCTACTAGACTAAAAATAAGAATACACGATAAAAATTCTAGTAAAATTAATATTAATTTTACTATTATTTTTGTTCAATAATTTGCAATATTTTTAAAGGAACATGGTAAGTAATATATTTTTGCTAATTTATCATAGTAATTGTTGTTTTTGAATAGTTTTTTTCCAAAGAATGGGTGCAGCAATAGTAGACTTACTCTCCTTAAATATAAATTTATAAATTGATCGCTAATCAATTATCTTTATTCATCAAATACTTCGATAATATTAATACAATTCAAACTGTCTAATAATCTCACATTCTTCGAGGTACATGTTTAATTGAATATGATACTACCCTCTTACTCCTCCCCGCAATAAAAAACTATTTAATATTCAAAATATAAATCTTAAGAATACGCGTATAATTTCTTTATTCACAGCAGAAATAATGAAAAAAATCTAGAAATCAGTAATTCTTGTTTATTCCGTTTTTGTCAAAAGTGTAAGCTTTGAATAACATTATATCTAGCCCTTTCCAAATAAGGGATATTTCTCATTTGAGTACAATTAAGTATACTTCTTATTGGAATAATATTTTGTACAATTTCTATAATGTAAAATTACAGATGATTTCTAAGTTTTAATTTTTTTTACGGAATTCGTTTAAGATCTTAGCTGTTATTCTTTTCTAGCGATTTTGCATTGCTTTTATTTTTTTTAATTATTTTTTTACACTATGCTCAATAATCTCACTTTCATTATATCACATGTCGAATTAAATAAAAATCTACCATATTACCTCCCACATAAACACTAATAACGCTCAATAAATGTCTGTATTTTCAATGGGTTAAGGTAAAGCAAAGTAGAAAAACAGTAATTCTAGTTTTTCTTCTGTTTGTTTAGACTATGAGCTCCAAAGTAACATAACATCTAGCCTTTTATGTCAGGAAGTCACTTTTCAAAGTAGTAATATTTCTTTTTTGAAAAAAGTTGCTTAAATAATATTTTAATATTGAAGGAAGACATAAAATAATAGTTTTGTAAAAATAGGTGAAATAGGTGAAACAAATTAAAAGTGATAAACTTTGTCGATCACCTCAAACAATGGATTGTGTAAAATTATTATAAACATATTTTAAATGCTATAACTATGTTTTAAATCAATTAAGCAGGATTTCGCCGTCAAAGTAAATTTTAATGAACTTTCTAATCAAAAAAAAGTAAAAAGACAAATTCCTACTAGTTTTTTGTTAGAAAACGAATAAAGTAATGAATTTTTAATCTGATTAAGGACATGCAAAGATCAGATATATGTAAAGTGTTATTCAATTCTAATTCTGTTATTTCTAACTCTGCTATTTGAAATTTTAGAACTGTATCTGCAGTTTTTCCTATATATTAACTAGGATATTTTTAAGTTCATATTAAGTTCATATTTTTCATAATTTTTCACAAAGCTTTAATGCACTCTCGATCAATAAATTGAAAATTCTGCAGCCTTTTCAATAGTTAAATTTATCAAAATCGTTATTTATAATACTCATTTCTGATATACAATTATAATTTACTTTATTTCAAAAATTTAGTTATTCTAATTTTCTAGTACTTTATTTGTTTTAAATTTTTTTAATAATGGTAAATTATTTTGCAGCGTATATAACACATTTTCTTTTAATTTTTAAATAAATAAAAATGAATAAAAAAAATAAATCAAACAAAAATTAAAGTCCCTCACTGCCCACCTGAGTTGAATTCCTGAGATTCGTCCATTAAAGTATTAGAAGCTGGCCCATTTTTTCTCTGTGACGAGCTCCCATTGAGATGTAAATGTTCTATAAAATAAATAATAATATTTTAATCTAAATTTGATGAACTCTCCTTTTTTAATGTTATTTAAGAGAAGAAAAAAAAACGAATTTTGAAACCCTCTTTTTTAAATATTATTTTAGTACTGTTTTAGATAAATAAATCTATTCAAATTTGCTGAACAATATTAACAATATGTTTTGCATTAATAAGAAGACTATGAAAATTTAGACATTTTAGTTGCATGTGTCTCTATCTAAATATCATATTTATGAACAACAAGTAATAAAATACCTGTAGTAACTTTTTTTAATTTTTAATTACTTAAGTTTGATAAGTCTCAAGCTTATTTAAAGGGGATGAATGCAAAACAATATTACGTAATTAGGAAATAAACACATTCGCATCTGTTTTATAGGATTTTAAAAAGGTGTATTATAGCAAATGATAAACATTAAAAATCCTACACGAAACTTGGATAAAAATCATTGAAACCTTAAAATATTTCTGTAAAAATGCAAGAAGAAATAAAAAATATTATTTCAATGTACTTTTACTTTTTTATGTAGGTATGAGCCTGCATATTTAGTGTTGTGAGTAGTGTCTTTGCCTGCCAGGACTTCGACCGGGGTTCAATTCTCTTACAAAACGTTAGGAGTCTCAACGATTTGCACTTTCTCAATTGTGTCCTATTGGTTCAGGGTCACCTTGAATAAATTTTCTCAAACAGTTTAATGGCCGGAAAATACTTCAAATCTAAGAGCCGGAAATTTTTTGAATCATTTTGTTTATTTAAAATTACTGGTTCTCCAATGAATATGTTTAATAGTTTTTGCAAAAATTTCCGATTTTTATCCTTTGTAAATTTATCTGAGTTCCCAGATAAGAGATTTTCAGTTTATTCTCGTGCAGAATTTTTTAATTGTACTTATTTTAATTTTTAAGACAAAACTAGAAAAGTATACTTTTTAATACAAAGACGTTTTTATGTCAATCATTCTGCCATTTAGGTGATATTTATCAAATAAATAAGATATTTTTTTGCCCAGTAGTCTTGAAAAAAATGGCAGGTCAAGCAGCAAGGCATAAAACATACAAAATCAAAAATTAATCCAATAATTTTTTTTAATTACCCACAGAAAAAAAATTGGGAAAATTACTGTACTGTATAACGCTAACATTTCTGACAAAAAAACAACAACATAATTTTAGCTAATAAAACTAAAATATACGGAAATTAAACCAATCATTTGATAATTTTTAATATTTATATGGTATTGGTTTACATGAAATTCTGGTTTTAAAAATTATAGCTCTTATTCCCCTATGTCTAGTGAAAATTATAAAAATGAAAATTTAATTTAACCGAATAAATGGTTTACTGTTGATTTTATAAAAATCATTTCCAAAGTGCTTCGATAAGATTTACTGAGATTTTCAGTGTTCCCATAGAGATAAGAAAGCCAGTAAATTTTAGCTCATTTTGATAGTTTTAATAAAAAAATTTCTCAATGCATCGCGCATGTTTGGTTCATATTTCGTTGCATTTGCTTATCCATGATTTCAATATCATTATACATATATTAAATCATGTAGCTAAAACCCCACACGTAATTTTAAAAGTTGTAAGCAGAGGTAATGCATCAGATTGAAACACTTTTTAGTTTAATTTGCATTTAAACTTTTCGGAGAGTTTTATTGTGCTTGCACACCAGCAGATCATCTATTTCTTCAGACGGTGGCAAGTCTTAAAAATATTTAGACAAAAATATTTAAGGAATGTGAAAATTTTGTTAAAGAAAAACAGATAATATCAAAACATTTCTATATAAATTCTTCTCCCTTCTTCAAAACAAAATTTATATATATTTAAAAAGAAATCCAGATGGATCGCATTTTTATTTTCATGATCTAAATTGCTTAAAAGCATTATGGAATACAGAGAGAAATTTACCTCTTAATCTAGGAAGATAAACCTCATAATGTTGTGTTACTTTTGGGTTTGAAGTTGGAGGAGGGATCTCTGAAAAAATAAGAAAACTGTACCTTAATAATGTTATTTTATAGCCTACTAGCTGAATATACGTTCTTCACACGAGGTGAATAAAACAAAATAATAATATGAATAAAAATAATGATTAAAAGAGAGAATAATCAATAAATCAGTACTGAGCAATCATGCTCAAAACTTGATTGCATATACCGACACAATTAAAGAATTTGATGGAAGAACCAGGTGAATGACATTTTTATTAGAATTAATGAATTGGAGAAAATAACATAGAATGGTTGCGTCACAATTCAAATAAGGGAAGAAGATTATATAAAATTATTAATAAAGTAGATTATTTTAGGACGATGCCGTCAAAACAAGAAATCTGGTTTCTAACTGGGCATGGTCCTCTTCCATGTTATTTTAAATATCTAAACATCTCAGATAATGATCACTGCACGTGCGGTCTTCTGGGCACTCCAGAACAATATCTTACGGAATGCATCTATACAGCTTCATGGCATACTCGTGCATCGAATATCACTAATCTACCAACTTGGCAAAAACAATTCATAACTAACAATACACTAAAAACCAAATTATTATTGGTAATGAATTTTCTTTCTGATAATGACAATATTCTAAAATTATAAAAATAAAAAAAAATAAAAATATGTTATATATTTTTGAATGGCTACCTATATGTTGTAAATACTGTACATATCTTTTCTATTTAACTTTTTATTTATTAT